GAAGCAAAGTGGACAGATGAAAATACAAGACATATAACCCTTTAATCCCCACAGTAATATGTCAATACAAGGAGAGAACAACTTTCCAAAATCCAACCACAAAGGAATGGAAGATCTTTTCCTTCTATCAAATACAGAGTTCAAATTTGCCATGATAAAGAAATTCAAAGAAATGAAAGAAAACACAGAAAGGCTGATTAAAGATAGACAAGAAAACACAATCAAAGGAATGCTACAAGAAATAAAATCAGTGAACAGAAGATAACAAATAATCAGGATGCAAATAGATCAATAGAGGAGATATAAAGTTCTGGAGAAGGTTATGAGAGAACAGACCAAATGGAAGACTGAACCATTGTCCTCAAAGATGGTGGTGCACAAAAATCCAGATGGAAGAAAAAAGTATAAAAAAAAAAAAAAGAGCTACTTCGAGAATTAGCTGACTCTATGAGGAAAGATAAGAATAATGGTTATTTCAGAAGTGGAAGAGGGGAGAAGATAATAGAGAATTTATTTAAAGAAATAATAGAGGAAAACTTCCCCAACCTGGAGGAGGAAGGAGATATACAAGTCCATGAAGATAAAAAAAATACCTGTTTATCTAAATATAATGAGAGTTACACCAAGATGCAGTCATAAAACTTCCAATCATACAAACAAAGATAGAAATATTGAAATTGACTTGGGGGTGGTGTAAGATAACATGAAAAGGTACCCTATCAGACATATCCAACTTCTCTGAGGAAGCTGGGCAAGTAAGGAAAAAATGGAATGACATATATTCAAAATACTTACAGAAAAAACTACCAATCAAAATAGTATATCCTGCATGACTTTTCTTCAGATATAAGATAGAAATAAAGACATTCCCAAACAGAAGCTGAGTTTCTAAATACTAGAGTGACCAGTGACCATAAGAAATGTTAAAAGGGACAGTCTTACCTAAATCAAAGAGATTCTAAAAAAGAAACCCCAAAACTGAACAAGTTAGTAGGTAAAACCAAAAAATGAAAAGACAAAATGGAGGTAGCAGACCCTTATATATTAGTTATCACACTAAACATAAATGAACAGAACTTACCAATCAAAAGGCACAGAGTGGCTGGTTGGATCAGAAAACACAAAACAGCTTCTGCTGACTCCAGAAAATGCAACTGAACTCATAAGAAAATAGAGACTCAAAGTAAAGGCATGGAAAACAATCCTACAAGCAAATGGGACTCAATGAATGGTAGGGACACCCATACTTTTATCAGATAAAATCATAAAACACACAGGGAAAAAACAGATAAAAACTTTACAACATTGCTTTCACTGGTATCTTTGTGGATTCATCTTGAACAGCAAGAGAAACAAAAGAGATTTAAATAATTGGAACTACATTAAGCTTACAAGTTCCGCAAAGAAAAAAAGAAATGATCACTAAAACAAAAAGATATCCTGCTGAATGACAGAACATATTTGCACTCCACATACCTCACAAGGGCCTAATAAAGAACTCAGATCAACAAAAAGAAAATAACCCAACCAAAAAAGTGCACAAAAGTGTTAAATAGACACATCTCCAAAGAAAATAAACAAATGACCAATAAGCACATTAAAAAATGCTCATCATCCCATCAGGGAAATGCAAATCAAATTACAATGAGATACCACCTCACACTTGAGTGAATGACTCATATCAAAAAGAGTAGAAGCAACAAGTACTGGCAGAGGTGTGAAGAAAAAGGAACCACAGTAGATTGTATGTCGAGTCTCTATGGAAAACAGTATGGAGGTTTCTCAAAATATTACAAACAAATCAACTATATGATTCAGCAATTCCACTTTAGTTATGCACCCAAAGAATGCAAAACCATTCATTTGAATGGGTAAATGCACTTGTATGTTTACTGTAGCACTATTTACAATAGCCAGTCATAGAAACTACCTATTCTAACAAGACAGAATATATATACAATGGACTACTACTCAGCTATAAAAAGGTAAAATCTTGGCATTTGTGACAGTATGGATGAAACTGGAAAAGAAAATGGTAAGCACTATATATGTGGGAAGGAGAAATACAAATACCGATTTTTTCAGATATATGTGGATTATAGAGAAAACAATTATAGGGCAAAAACCAAACCAACAACAACTCCTAGAAATCTGACAGTAGAACTGAGGCCTGTAGGAGATGAGGGGGCAGGTGGAGATCAAAGTGTGGGGGCAATCCCATGGACTACAGTAGTGCACTATGGGTGTCTTGGTGTCAGGTATAGTATGGTAACATACTTTGAAGGCATATGATCCAATACTTCTGACTCATATAATGTTATAAACTAAAGTGACAGCAATATAAAATAATAGCAAATAAAAAATATGTTAATTAGCAGACTAAAAAAAGGTACAAATCTTATATAATTCAACTTGGATTGAGTTTATTTCAATGAGAAAATGAAAAACTCCTGTCAGGAGTCCCGTATTCAAAGGGATGGCTTTCCAAATACCACACCTAGCAAGTGAGATTCTTGGCAAGTCAGAAACCACAGATATGGCTACACGAGTGTGTACTGGCTGAAGTGGAATCGCATCCTAAAAAATCTTTTGTTTCTACATCTAAAGATATGTGAAAAAATGAACATTCGCCAAGGATATACAGATGGCTGGCAGGCACATGAAAAGATGGGCATCATCCCTTGTTACTAAGGAAACACATGTTAAGACAATGAGTTATCACCTCATACCTGTGAGAATAACCAGATAAGAAACAACCTGTATTGGAAAGGATGTGCGGAAAGGGAACCCTTGTACATTGCTGATGGGAATGGAAATTGTTGCTATCTTTATGGAAAGCAGTTTGGAGACTCCTCAAAAAATTTTAAAAATTAAAAATAAAATTCCATACAATCCACTTATCTCTTCTGGATATTTAAAGACTATGAAAACACCACCATGTTCATAAAGTATTATTCACAACAGCTTGGAAACAATGTAAGTGCCCACTGACAGATGACTAGATGCAGGTGCGGCATATGTACACAGTGGACTATTATTCAACTACAAAAAAAGATGAAATTCTGCCCTTTGCAACATCAATGGACCCAGAGTGGTTTATGCTATGGGAAATAAGTCAGGTGGGAAAAGACAAACTCCATATAATTTCACTTGTATGTAGAAGATAAAGAAAAAACAAATACAAAGCTTAGACTATAAAAACAAAACAGTGATTGTCAGGAGGAAAGCAGAAAGCAGGAAGATGGGTGGGTGGACTGGGTACAAGGGGTCAAAGGATGGAAACTAGACTTGCATGGTGAACAGCATCATGTAGTATATACAGACATTGACTTTTGAAGCTGAACACCTAAAATGTGTATAATTAAATGGCCTATATAAATATATGATTATATCCCAATGTTATATCAATAAAATGTTTTTTAAAAGAATGAAAATAAAACAAAAAGAAGTTGCTGGAGTAATGCGCATAGAGAACATACTCAACATTACAAAGGACTTATAAGCTATACCTGAGACAGATCTAGTATGAAAATATTTGACTCGGTCCATATAGGATTTTGAAGCCATTGAATTAACACCATTAAAAATAAGATTTTAGAGCCTCCCCGGTGGCGCAGCGGTTGAGCGCTGGGTTGTCGAGCTGCCCGCAGCATCTGCAGTGCCAGTTTGATCCCTGGCCACGGGGTGAGGGTCCCAAATGGCATACAGACCTCTCCAGCAGCCCGCTGCTCCCCTCAGCAGTGTACTTCATCAGTCTACCTGCTCTGCTCTCTCCTCTAACTCTGGTGAATCTCTCACCCTCCCTCCCGTGCTTCTGACTGTACCCAGTGCTTGTATAAATTAATAAATAAATTTGAAAAAAAAAGTCTTAAAAGAAATAAAAATAAGATTTTATATAAAAATATAGATTTTTAGTTTCTACTGACAAATCTAAGGTTCTGACCACATTCTGCCCTATGCACACTCGAAAATTATAAACAATATTAATAGGAGTTGCCATTTATTAGTATTTACTAAATGTTGGGTATCATTCTATGCATTTTATTTTATATAAAGATTATGACTAGAATGCAAATCTTTTTATTCATAATATTGGGTATCTGGGGGAACCAATTCAAGAGAAATTCAGTAATTTATTCAGTATCTTGAACTTGTAACTGAGAGTTAGGATTTAGTTTTTTGTTTTTTTTATGATTGTTATTTATTTATGCATACAGGAATTGGGGTGTAAGCCAGAGGTTCACAGAGTGAGAGGATTCACCAGAGACAGAGTGGGGAGTAGAACAGACGTATCTACTAAAATACACTGTTGAGGGGAGCAGCGGGAGAGACAGGAGAGGTCTGCCTCACCATGTGTGGGTTAGCTCCCTGGCCAGGGATTGAACTCATGCCACAGTGGCTGGCGACCGATTGATAGCACTGAGACTTTAACCCCTATGACACCAGCAAGACCATAGAGTTAGGATTTGAACTTGTCTGGTAATAATGGTAAGTCCCTTATCCATTGATGTTGCCAGTTCAAAATATTACTGAAGAGAGAATTTACCCATATCCACTATGGTCACTTTTCTGTACTTATAGGAAGTTCATTCTCTATGATTGGTTTAAATGTTGATATTTCAACATAATGTGAAACAGATTTCTAAAAAAAGTCAATGTACCTGCACCTAATAAATATCTTCTTTCTAAATAATTGCTACTCATTTGTGCTCACAGTATTTAAATAATTTACCAATCCAATTTGAGTCCAATTTATTTCAAAGTGATAGTATCCATTTAAATGTATCTCATACCAATTACAATTTTCTCTAGTAAATTAGAACATTTCCTTTAATACTCTGAATATCACTTGTAGACTTGTATTATGAAGCCAAGAAACCTCCTTTCTATCATTCATTATATATATGCATATATATGTATAAATACACACACATGCAGACTAAAGATTTGCATTTTAACTCTGCAAATGTTACTCAGAAAATTTTTCAAGCTTGTCTTACCTGAAGTTGTCTTCACTACTTCAGTGGTATTTCTCAGTCCAACAAATGAAAATTGATAAAGCCTCCAAGATCTTGTGTCTCCCACCTCAACAGAACTTCGCTTCCACTGATAGACAATTTCTTCACGTGGATAGCCATCTGCCATGATATAAGAAAGCTCTCATTTAGAATTTTATACATCAACATATGTAGCAACCACATTCCATGAACATGACACTGAGGAAAGCATTGAGAGTGAGAGAGTTATGACTTATTTAGATGAGGATCCTGGTCTAAAGATCACTACAGTAGGGGAAGTAAACAGAGTGACATCATACCCTAATGGGAAGTTAGATTTCAAAAATAATAGATCAAAACTACCCTTGAATCTCACTTAGATTGCAGTGAAGATATATATATATATATATATATATATATATATATATGTGTGTGTGTGTGTGTGTGTGTGTGTATATACTATATGAATACTTTATATTGTTTAGGTTAAGATATGAAAAGTGACTAGTATATAACAAATAGAACAAACACAAGATATCCCTGCTTGGTGAAAGGAAGTCAACTGGGTAAGATTTTATGAGTCATGCAGAATTATAAGACAATGAGAGAAGAGTAGATTCCAATCCCTTTGTAGGGCATGCACTTGGAGTGGAAGATGATGGGATAAAACAACTGAAATGATTTATATTATTCTCTCTCAATATGTTAAGATTTCATTTCTAAGATACACAGAATTCTACAATTACCATAAGTAGAAATGCCAAGGGAAGATAACAATGAACATTTTATATGTTATAGGGGAGTCAGTTATGTTTAGTCAAGAGAATAAACAAAGTTTATGAGAGAGGTATTACTATATTGATAATGTGGTTATTGGTATGACTCCTAGCCACAATACCTTGTGCATATTTAGTTTTTTTTCTAATTTTTTTTTCTAATGGGGATGCTAATAATACTTATTTCCTAGAATTGGTGGTCAATATATATTTGTTGAATGGATAAACATTATTATTAAATAAAGTGTACAATAAACACTTTCAAGTAATATAGATGGAGATAGATAAAAGAACTGAAAATCACCTCAAATGTTTGTCTACTAATCATTCTGTGTAAAGATAATTCTTAATTATGGAGGCTGAATGTCTTCTTGGAATAAAATCCCCTTCCTTTCCTTCTTAGCTTTCTTTTTGATGTAAATCTTTGCCTATTATGTGCTTATTAGTTAAGAATAAAGAATAAAGTCAGATCCTCAGATTGCTAAGAAGCAAGAGTGGGAGGGCAGGGCATGGTAAAAACAAAAGGAAATAATGACTATTAGGAAGCATTCTATGGAGAAAGACTGAATTCCTTGATAGCAAGAAAGAATAATAAACTGTGTTTGTGTACAGAAGGCAGTGGTCAATCAGCCACCCAATGCCACAGAAATCACTAGTTGTTGACTCTTAGCTGACTGGAGAGAAGTCCCAGGGGAAAATGGAAAGAAAAGAATATAAACTTCAAATTCATAATCAATCTGTCTTTGTGCCTATTGTGTACAGTTGGCAAACAAACTCTAAGCAGGTGGTGAGCAACCTAATAGAGAGGGTGAACAAAGAGTGAGATAAACATTTTGGTTCAGATAGGAAGTATCTGTGAAGGCTACTAAAGCTTAAGTTGTATTAGAATCAAGGATATTATTGCTATGGTCTATTACCTGATATTAATAACGATATTAATAACTATGACTAAGAATAAAGTGTTTTATTGAATCTTTTTGTTTGCGAGATAGCATCTAGCATTTTACATATATTTTATCAACTAAACAATACTGCTGTGGGCAAGTCGTACAATCCCTTCTGGGCACCTGAGAATGGGGATTCATTGAGATCTAGTAATTCGCTCAAGTCTATTGTGATGAAGATGGGATTTCAACTGGCCCCCCAGACACGAAAAATCAGTCTTTTACTTATTGGCAGTAAACGTGTTCTGAATATTACTAGATTCCAGGTGGAAAAGATCATTTTCAATTTTGCTATCTTTAAAGGGTATGCCAAAATAGGAATAGGCAAGTGAAACTGTTGGATCTCTGTGCATCCTGACATGTTAAAAGAAAAGACAATTGGCAAATATGCTCAGATGCTGGGCCTCTGGTAGGCAATGGGGAACTCTAATCTGCCCCTGTTTCATCTTTCAGTTTAATCCAGGTATGGCTCTATAGTGCTTCTCTACAAAAGGCTCCAGGCAAGCACTGCAGGTTTATTAGAAGCTTATCCCATAAATAAGCCTATAGCTGGGGTTAGGGTGAAAAAACTGTCAAAATCTTTACTCAACAATATTGCTTAAAGCAAGTTTGCTTTCTCTGTGAGTTTCACAATTAATTTTGCATCAGAAAGACCACTGGTGAGGAGTATTACTACTTACAACTGGAGAACTCCAAGGGGCAGGAGTGTTCATCCATTGGGAAATTGTGCAACTGTAACTGGCACTCAGCATCAATTGTCAACCTGAATAGAAACATATTTTAGATGTAGGTTCAAAAACTGTATATTAGCACAATGTCTAGTGACCCTAGATTTTTACCCCTAGAGAGTTTTGCTTTCGTTCTTATTGATTACACAGCATGATCATCAATGAAGAAATTAATCATATCAAGAAGAAAATTATTTAAGGAGATGCTATCCATTCATTTTCAGACCAAACAGTAGCATCTCATTGACCTCAACTGCATTTGTTCAAGATCTGTGATCACATCATTTAATTCTTTTTTGGCAAATCATTTATACACATGAGGTTGCTTGATGAATCTATTTAACTTGTTTCACAGAACAAACTGTTTTAAGAAAGTTAAGTTCACTTACCATTTGCATATAAATGAGAGCTGATAATTCTATCTTATCTGCTAATTAAAGCAGAGGCTTCTGTTTTTAAGTACTTGTTAGCTGTTAGCTTTAAATTATTATATGTGAGTTTAAAAATACCTATACTTCCCAATTGGGAACACCATGCATTCTTAAAGTGGAACACTATGAAGCTATTAAATAGTATATTACAGGGGAGGAGAATAATAGCAAACAACAAATGTTAACTACACATACAGAGACATACTGGGAACATGTTTACCAATGAGTGTTAATTACTTTGTATCTGGGGTGCAGATTAAACACAGAAATTTTCTAGGTCTCAGTATGCATAGGGACTCTAGGAGGGAGAAAGTTTAAAGGAGTTCCAGATGTTTTGACCACCTTTGGAGAAGTATGATTATATTCTAAAATTGTAATGTTGATGGGTTGATTTTTTAAATTTTGTATTTGTTAGCTATAGTTCTCACAACATAAAGATAAAATTCTTGAAGTAATAAAACTGTTGTTTTATGGGCCTCTATTTATTAAAACCAATTTTATAGTTTAGTATAATTTTTCACTAGGGAGTTTTTGTTTTTCTATGGTAGAACAGAGCAATCACTAATTTAAAAATATAACTCACAATAACTGAGCCCTTATCTATGAAGCACTAAGTGATTTTTTTTTCTCTAATTTAGTAAGGGTTACTATGGTTTTAGTGTACTGGCGCTTGTCCAAAGTCACAAAGTTTTGGCAAAGTGAGATTTGAGATTTGGCAAAGTGAGATTTGACAAGTTCATATGTCTCCAAAGCTGTGATTTTTAATATTGCCATAAAAATTGTATATGCTTCCAAATAAATGACTAGTCTTATAAGTGAAATTATGTTACATTTGATATTTTACTAGTATTATTTCTCAAAATTAAACTGGAATTAACAGAATTGGAAGATTATAAATATGTATCAGCACTCACATTCATAACACTACACAAAGAATAACATCTTTCTCTGTACACATTGGCAACTCTTTCTGACCTTGATTGAATTTCACTGAGTGACATTTTTGAGGTAATTTACATGATTAAATATTTTAGAGATATCGCATATTAATATTAGTCCCAAAGTGAATGTAATGTTATCACAAAGACAAAGGGAGGGACTTGAAGTAGTGAAATAGTCAGTAATACTACTTTAAATGTCAGACAGAGTTCTGATTTATGAGACAAACTTTGGTTTCTAATAGATTCTAATTCCAGTAATTATCTTACCTCTACCCTAATGAAACCCATGATCACAGCAAAATCCATGCAATAAACTTCTTTTGTAATTATGTCCATTTTCTCTAGTAACTAATAACTGATGAAGATTTTTGCTGTCATTATTAAAATTACATTGTGTATGTTTTAAATGATGTAATTTATGTAACTATGTTTATTTTGTAATTATATTTTTTGCAATTCTTACCTATTATGTTTATTATGCAAGGCATAAAGTGTATGCCACAAAAGTATTTAATATAAATCATTTTGAAGCTAGAAGTTCCAGGATACTAAGAATTATTATTCTTATCTTTTACTGAAAATATATAAAAATAATTTTAACATCTCCTCTTTTACTATATAGCAGACTCTGTGTAAAGAGATTTATATATTACCCCACATGCTACTTATGAAAACTCTGTATGATAGGAATTATTATCTCTCAGAGAAATTAAAAAAATGTAAGGTAAGAGTTGCTGGGTCTTAACACTGGAAGGTGTTGGAGAGGGGACATTTGTGGGAGTCTTGATGCCTACTTTCTTACTTCCCATCAATTGCTGCTTAATTAATTATAGTCAAAATGAAACCCAATAAAAACATGACACTCACTATACAATGAAGTTTTGTTATAAATCTTGCAGCACCAATACTTCTGCTACCAAAAACCTGCTTGTAAATCCTGTCCTTAGGAATTCTGGGGAGTTTCCCTTCTCTGTAGAGATAGTAAGATAAAGAGTTAAGAATCAAAGCAGATTTGTCTGATTCTTAAGTCTATGTGCTAACCAGCGAGAAACTTCAGTTTAGTGGAGAGCGATGGGCTGTGGGAGTTGAAATTCATTCTAGCTACTTGTCATTGTGCAGCTATAGAGAAAGTATGTCCACAGACTTCACCAGCAAAAACTCTCCTGTAACAATGGTTTCCTCGGAAATAGAGATATTTCCAAGCATACCAGCTGGTGGTCCTAAGGCTAGGGGACTGTGTTTTAATTTCCATATTTTAAAGTAGTAAGACACAGACACAAAAGCCAAGATGCAAAGATCAGATGATCTTACCCAAGAAGGGAACTTTCATGTTCTTGTGAAAAACAAGTTCTCATATCAGTTATAGGAAACCAGTTCATTATGAGTAAACCTCTGAAAAGCTCACTGATAACAGAAAAGAAAATTCATTTCAGAGTCACACTATTTTGATCCAACATGCTGACGCTGGTGTTGGCTGGAGATTTTTTGCTTTCAATTTCATGAAAGTGTGTCTGACTTTATTTCCAGCAATCATGCTTTCCTTTTCCAAAATAATGAATACCTTAAGGTGTACAGCACACGACCATCATTCCAGATTCGCAGCATCCTGTTGGGGGTGGTTATCCAGTGGGCATCAGCCTTCTTGGAATTCCTGAAGAAAGTGTCTGGAATCCAGATTTTCCCCACCATGTTGCTGTTCAATCTGAGGACTTTAATGGTGCTATTAAATTTCAGACGTCTGTCATACCATGTTTGGGCAAAAAAAATATCAATCGTATATTCCTGTTGTGAAGTAAAAATGAAATTGAGTATTTTTAATACAGTGGGACTAGGATGCAGAGCACTTGGTTATATATACTGTTTTTGTTCTCATTGTCAATACAAAACCAAGTAACTTTGACTTTGAAATCCACAAATGAAAAAGCTCTAAGAGTCTTTAAACCAGCATTTAAAGACTGGGGCAGTCTGAAGACTAGTACTACTAAAATTGAAAGTTATTTGTTGACATAAGCTACATAACATCCATAGTTATTTATAATTTACATCAGAATACATTAAAGATTCTGAAAACTTTGGTTGTAAACAAGAAACATGTTAGAATTATTTCCTGGTCAAACAGACAAACTTATTTTCATTGAGAGCATGCAGGCAAGGGTATGCCTTTTTAATCATCCTAATTGAGGACAAAGTTTCTCATCTCTGACTCAACAGAAAGTTTATTGCTAGCTTGGTAAAGAATGTTTTAAAGTTCTAGTATTTCCACATTATGGCATGGTATAGTATGATATGGTATGGCATAATGCAGTGTATTCTGTACTGGACACCAATGGAATTTTTTGTTTGAGATTTTAATAGAAAATATTATACAAGAACAAAATTATGTTTATTATTCCACTTAATGCATTATTTTATCTAGAAAACTTCTGTTTTGAGGTAAACTATACCCTCCCTAAACTACTAATATTCTAAAAAAAAGTAAAAATAGTGCAGCATTATATTTTATTTTGTAGCAATCAATGCTTTCCAAGTAATGATTATTGAATTTTAAAAGTACAACTGCTTTTTTACATATTACACATTTATACATTACACACATACACTAATTTGAAAGGAAACCTGTACTTTGTTTATTGTAGCACTATTTGCAATAACCAAACTATGGAAACAACCTAAATGTCCACAAACCAATGAGTAGATCAAGAAGATGTGGTATAGAGATATATATGTCTCTATATATGGTTATATATAGTTATATGTCTATATGCATGTTATATATATAGTTATATATAGTTATATGTCTATATACAGTTATAATTATATATATATGTATATATAGAGAGAGAGACATATATAGATATACATATATCAATGGAATACTGCTTGGCAATCAACAGAAATAAACCCTTACCATTTGTGGGAGCTGGTAGGAATTATGCTAAGTAAAATAAGCCAGAAGGCAATAAATACTAGATAGTGTCACCTATGTGAGGAATACAGAGAAACCAAACAAAGGTTCAGACAAACTTTAAAACCAACTCTTGAGGGCCTCCCTGGTGGCAGAAGAGGTTAAGATGCAACCTATGAAGCTCTCTGCTCTGCAGCATGAGTTCGATCCCCGGCAGCCTGGGAGCTACCCACATGGCACAGCAGACCTCTCCTGACTCACCCGCTGCTCCCCTCAGCAGTGTACTTCATTTGGTCAATCTGCCTGTTCTGTTCCCCACTCTGTCTCTGGTGAATCCTCTCATCCTCTGCACCTCTGGCCTGTATGCATAAATGCTATTGACATCCCAGCTCTTGTATGCATAAATAAATCAATCTTAAAAAAAAAAAAAACACTTTTGAAAGCTGACCATAGAACTGAGGGATCCAGAGGTTAAATGGAAAGGGAAGAGGAAAGGTGAGTACAGGATGGGGAAGGGAGCACAATGGACTATGGTGGAGGACTATGGGGCTTTGTTGGTGGGTGCACTATAGTTACTATATCTGAGGGAAGAAACCCTCTACTTCCGAAACACTAACAAGGATATAAGCCAATGGTATGGTCTCACTCATAGCAGGAATCTAGAAAACTTAAATAAGGGACCAGGAAAATGAATAACTATAAGAAAGTGAAAATCAAAATCAACAAAAACTATGAACCAGAGACAATTTTGGGGGGGTGGGGGGTGGGAGGGGAGGGATTGGGGTCAAAATGGGGGGGTTGCAATTGTATGGCAAATATAAAAATAAAATCTATTATTTAAAAAAAAATAAATAAACCAATGGTACATCAAAAAAAAATTCTTAATCCCTTATTTTTTTTTTGCTATGACACCACATTTCTCCTCTAATATGTTAATAAAACAGAAAAACTATCAGAAACTTACCATATTGATAGCGTTCACTGGACCAATGCTATTGACATACATATCTGTGTGAATTAAGGTCGGTTTCACTGTAAAGAGAACCATAGAGTAATGTGCATATGGAAAAACAGACAATTTTAATGTTTTAGTCTTTTGTTATTCTAGAAATTATTTTGCTGCATTAGAAGTGATTTATGCACAACTAATTTGGTGCCAGTGGCTAATTCCCCACATTTGAATTACATTTTCAAAGGAATATCTCCTTTAATATATAGAAATACAATAACAAAGCACAGTTGATATTAAAAAGAGATTGCTGTCTTAAGACAATATAAAAATGGATGACTCAATATAAAAACATTGCTTAACTTTATATTTCTCATAGGTATCTTGAATTTTGCCATTTTCCTCCAAGCTCTGGAAACTATTGGGGCATTATAATCTGAATTGTTTCATAAATAAAATAAACACTCACTGGTGATCCAGAAGTAAAAAAATGCATTAGAAACATTAAGTATGCATAAAGGCCAGTGTACACTATGAAAAATTTCGGAAATATTGCTCTTTTGGTTCCTTTTATGACTACTTTATCCTTATGTATTCCTAGTGAGCAAAAATCAATCTTACTTAATGACTTAATTGATTTCGTGTCTCATCACATAATATAAGGAAACCATATGGAAACTCAATATACACCTATTTATCAAAGAGGACTGATATTACAAATCTGTAGTATTACATCTATGGCCAGATGCATGTGATTCATTTTCATCTAAAGTTTAATGAACAAGGATTCATTGCTTCTCATCCTTTTGGCTAAAATCAAGTGTCATGAGCAAGGATTCAGATCATCATTTTGGGCTGCAATTCAATAAGACCATTTGTCTCATCTTTACCCATTTCACTTAAAAGTGCGGTATCCTACTTCTCTATGGTAGACTGACTTCTCTATTCCATGAATCTGCATCATTGCCTTGACCTCAATGAGGCAATTTCCCTGCCTTTGGATTTTGGACTTGACCATTTGACTTGCTTTGGTTAATAACATATGCTTTGGTTAATAACAAGTGAGTCTGTTAGTTCTAATCCCAGGCGTGATGCTTATGAAAATCTTTCTTTTCCTTCTTTTTGCTGTTATTGTGAGAAGGATCCTTCTAGTTCATCTGATGGTCCCTTCTGTAGGATGAGAATCCAGCTTTCCAAAAGAAAGCAGCTTCAGGCTGGCTTATTTTAGATCACCCCAAGCAAAATGCTAATAAAAGTTTATTTTGTATCCCAACGAGATTTTGTAGTGGTTGTTATAGCAATAGGTACCAGTATTTATTCTCCTTGCCATTATTTGTTTGTTTTTGCTGTTACTTCATTAAGAAGTTGTCACTTTCCTTCTACAGTCTTGTCTGGCACATCTAGGAAAATACGCATTCCTAGCTCTCCCGTCTCATTTGAAAAATCATTTTTCTTCTTTTGCATTTATCAAATGCTAAGCCTCAATGCTACTTATACATTCTTCATCAATTTTTCCAAAATATAATAAAAGTAACATTTGAATCTTTCTATTTATTAAAGTGATATTTTCTTCTAATGTGGCAGTTATTCTATATGTTCCTATCTCTACCATACCACAAAAGGTTTTAACATACCTCCTATATCAGGTCGAAGTTTGTTGTCATATCCTTCTAGAAGGTTGTTTAAGATGACTGTGACATCACCCTCAGGAACTTTTGGAGTCAAGACCCATGTCTTGTTAGAAGCATAATCTTCATAGTCATCATCGGATTTTTGGCTAGTGAGGCTAGGAAATTTTTTAAAAATGGTTAAGAAACATCTAAACTACATCCCAGTTGATTTTTACCCATAGATGCAAAAGGGTTTGCAAAAGAGTTTGACCGTAGCAATGGGTTACAGTAAAAGTTACCCCTCGAGGTTAGGTTAGCTCATAAATACACACACACACACACACACACCAAATATATGTATGTGTGTGTGTGTGTGTGTTTATATATATATATATATAAATAAAACTACACAGATGCAAATTAAAACTTATTAAAGTATACGCTCCAATTTTCCATAACGGTCTACTCTTCCATCTATAAATACATTATTTTTTACCACTTATTTATGTTTTTCCCATAGCTGATGTTCTTCCTACCCACTTGCCTGACCTTATGAAGAACTTAATTAAAAAACCTATGTTTGTAAAAGTAAAGCTTCAATGATCATAACATAGTCTAAGCATTCAGGCATAATGTCTTCTTCCTTTGGGAAGTTAACTTGTTCCAACCTATTAATGAAAGTTAAGAGACTGATAATTAGATTCACTCCCACAAACCGCCAGACAAGCCTCTCCCCTCTCAGTTGAACTACTAAGGAAAGCTCAGTCTTGCTGCCTTTTCTTCCCCCAGGGTGTGTGTATGTGTATTTTTTCCTCTCACTTGCACTAAGGCAAGGGCGGTTCATTTATCTTTGATTGTTAAGAACCTGGTACTATGCAGAAAAATGTAGTTGCAGACTTTAAACTACTCTCTATTACAGCAACAATTCCTAAGCTAGAAACTCATACGGATGGTTATGTGCTACAGTCATAAAAATTAAATTACCTATTTTGAGTGATCAAAAGGTCACATATTATCTTGTTATTCAGTTTTCTATGCCCCAACCTGTCAAAAGACCTCCACAATTTGGTGAGAAACTAAGGCTGACTTTGGAAGGATAATAGAATTCCTATAGTTTTCCTCTCTCTTATTAATTACCAATCCCCTTCCCATCACGTTTGAAGTGGTTATATTTTCCAGATCTAGGGGCAATTAAAAACCTTGTAAAAGTTGCAATTTTCATTTTTATTAGCACTAGGTGAATAATGGCTACTTCTGTGGTTAATGGTTAAACAAAAAAATACAAAGTTAAAATAAACAAAGTTAAAATAAGAAGTTTCCCATCCCTTGCCTACTTTCAGTTTATTTTCATAAATATGTGGAATAGACTGGATATTATCAGACATCAAATCAATGCCACATTACTCTGAGTATATGTTCTAAGAATGCATCATCTTTCTTCAATCATACTTAGTCATCAAGATACACACACGTACACATATACCCACACACATTCATAAATGTATGTATGTGTTTTATAGTTCACTTGGATATTAATTATTTATGGTAGAATAAAGCTGATTAAATGATTAATCTGATTTAAGAATCAGGATGGGAAATAAGTTTTAGAAAGTAATCACCGGGCCTCCCCGGTGGTGCAGCTGTTGAGTGCTGGGTTGTGAAGCTGCAGGCAGCCTCTGCAGCATCGGTTCAATCTCTGGCCACTGGACGAGGGCACCCACATGGTGCGCAGACCTCTCCTGCCGCCTGCTGCTCCCCTCAGCAGCGTACTTCATCAGTCTGCCTGCTCTGCTCTGCTCCCCGCTCTGGTGAATTCTCTCACCCTCCCATGCTTCTGACTGTACCCAGTGCTTGTATAAATAAAAAAACAAACAAACAAAACAAAAGTAATCACCACCAGCGTGATCAACTTAGTATGCAAGTAATCTCTTTTGCAAGCTTTAGAAATAGGAAACATTAAATCTGAGCCACACATCTGCATAAAAGCTAACCTAGCTATATATTACATCTTGCAGCTACCATGGGAACAAAAAAAATAATAATCTAAATTTTCACAGGGGTTGCACTGAGGGTATGATGGGCTGGAGAAAACTATAACCAGCAATCAAAAAGAAGGGCCATGTAAGCAGAGGCCAACTCTCTGCTAGGAAAATCCCTCTTGGGCCTCTACTCACCATTTCTACTGAGCATTGCTGCACTCCACCTAATACATCTCTAACCTATGACCCAAGTCTTCCTAGTTTAAGAAGAAAAAAAAAAAAAAGCTGATAGATTTTCAACTCTCTCCAATAGTTTGTGGAGAAAATAGAGTGGTTGGCCCACTGAATGCCATCATAATAGAATTTTTCATAATGAAATTTTACTATTTAATGTATTCATGCAAAAGTACCTTTTCAAAAAAATCACTTCCTCTTTAGATAAATTCATCTTACTACACTTTCTTCAAAGGAAGGGAGATAATGTGGTCAATCATTTGATTTATGACACCTCATCCTAACTAGCACAAGATCCAAGCACAATGCTGCTGTATTACTGCATTATTGTTATTTCACAGAACAGGAAGATATAGTGAAAATATAAGGGATTCTTGCTTAGAAGGAACACAACTTTCAAGAATTCCACAAATTATTCCTTTAGCGTAATCACTTATTGGATGTCGAGACAATAATCAAAGAGATTGTTTCACATTAAAGTGCCAGTGACAGATTTTTTTTTTTTTTCTTACTTCAGGGTATCTAGTTAGCCACAGAAAGGTAAAATAGAGCATAGAAATTAAGAGCATATCCTTGGGAGTTAGAAAGAACCAAGTCTCCTTCATGGATTTATGCCTTGCCTCTGTCACTATTTTATGACCTTGAGCAAATTATTTAATCTTACTCAGTTTCAAAGTGTGCATTTTTAAAATGGAGTTAACACTAGTATTCATATCACATCTTTATATAAGGTTAAGAGGATGGCTTATTAAGCATTTAGCACATACCTGACACATGACTGAGAATAGTACCATTATAATCATTGTTGCAAAGTGACCACTGCTACATATATAAGAACAGCTCCAACCATGTAACTCAAATCCAGGTCTACAGATGCTGTTTCCATGCTTTTCTCTAATATGAGCTGAGAATTACTAAAAACAGATGTTTTCCAGGAAGAAAAATAATGAGCCCCTACATTATAAATAAATGAAGTTTTTATTTGTTAGAGCTTTCCCAGCTGAGGTCTAAATTAATGGGGCTGATGCAGAATCTGGGATTGTTTCCAGATATGTCTTTAAAAGAGAAAAAAAGAAATTCTCTCATTCAACACCGGCTGTTTGTTTAGAATTGTTTGGGGCTAAGTACGTCATCATTTCTAGATGAGCTATCTAGGATCTTGAAAACTGACCATTACTTAAGGCATTGCATGGAATTGTGCACACACGAATGCCTGGGCAGAAATTGATATGGATTCAAGGAAATTGACCCTACAGTTGAGTGAGCTGAGAGCTAACTTGAACTTCTAGTTTAATGCATCTATGTGAGTGTAACAGTCTTATGAAGTGATCACTCCTTCTTAGACCCTCAGTCATACTGGTAAAACCACTGGTGCTTACTCTTAGGCATGTCTGTGCATGTTCACACACATGGTGGGGTGAACTTATAAAAAAATATTCCTGAAGTCCTGCCTTAGCTCTTCTAAATCCAAATATCCATGCTGTAAATTAGATCATTGATTTATATTTCCATCTTTATAGTTTATCTGCATGATTTGCATTTTTGCATGATTGTAAACATGTAACAAGTTTAGGTTTTTATGCAGAAACAAAAATCAACTATCATGGGAAAAAAACAAAATAATGAATAGATGAGAGTGCCTTCAATTACATATAAGAGTCTACTTATTTAAATTTTGGTACATATTCTAGATGTTTGTCACTGAAAACTACTCATGTAGTTTATGAAATTTTAATTTTTAAAACAAGTATTTCATATTCCCATACATTCAATAAAACTCTAAATGTGTGTGTGTGTGTGTGTGTGTGTGTGATATTGTCATTGTTCTCTCCCATGGTTGTATAAGAGCAAGCATTTGGAGAAATGTTTTCATTCAGGTATCTTTAAATTCGTTGTTGTTTGTCACCACAGTCTATATGTATACACACATATGTATGTGTATATACATTTATATACACATACATACATGTTTATATGTATTTATACATATATACATATATATTTATATACATGCATATATACAGTTTTTCTCTCAAAGGGAAGTACTTGAATTAAAAAATAAACAAAATCTCATTTATTTTTATGCATAGAATGTTTTAAAATGATTTTTGTTTTGCTCTTTTGTTTCATTTTATTTTATTTATAGTATTTTTAGGATTTGTTTTTGAGTTTTTCAATCTTTTTATCTTAATGTTTTATTTTAGCTCATTTTCTTTTTTTTTAATTTCTTTTTTTTTAAATAGAGGCATTTTTTATTATTTATTTATTTGTTTGTTTGTTTGTTTTGTTTATGCATGCACTGGGTACAGTCAGAAGCGCGGGAGGGTGAGAGAATTCACCAGAGCCAGAGCGGGGAGCAGAGCAGGCAGAAGGACTGAAGTACACTGCTGAGGGGAGCAGTGGGCGGCAGGAGAGTTCTGCGCGCCATGTGGGACCCTCCTCCGGTGGCTGGGGAGCAGCCGGGGATCGAACCGGCGCCGCGGGCGCCGCGGCCGCCGCGGGCAGCTTCGCAAACGAGCGCCCAACCGCTGTGCCACCGGGGAGGCCCTTTTTTTTTTTTTTTTAAGATTTATTTAATTAATTTATTTATACAAGCACTGGGTACATTCAGAAGTGCGGGAGGGTGAAAGAATTCACCAGAGCTGGGAAAAGAGCAGGCAGAGTGACAGAAGCACACTGCTGAGGGTAGCAGCGGGTGGCAGGAGAGGTCTGCGCGCCATGTGGGACCCTCACCAGTGGCAGGGGATTGAACCAGCACTGCAGAGGCTGTGGGCAGCTTCGCAGCCCAGTGCTCAAAAGGTGAGCCACCCGGGGAGGCCCTGTTTCACTCTTTTGTAACATTAGTTTCATTAATATTTTCTTGATAGAAAGTTTGGTTTATGTTAACTTTATAGGTATAATAAGATAAATGCAGATTACTTTACTTGCTAAAATAAATCCTCAAAAAAACATGCCAGCAAAAC